TCTTCAGGCCTCTTCTGGGGGGGCCACTTAGGTTGCCGACCGCAACGGCGCGCGCGGTGAGACTACCTGGGGGCAGGATCAATAAAAACACATGGTTTAGGGGGCAACCCTGCGGCTGGGTGCCGGGGGTTAGTATTATGGGGTAGCGATTTTGGGTTGAGCATCATGAGCATCAGCTGGGTCTTTTGGCCCCCAAGTTCCACACGCGTGCAAAGCCGAATCTTCCAGTGGTTGGCGTCTTTTTGACCCCCAAGGGAATTCGGCCCCCCCACGAACTTTTGTACTTTTTGTCCCCGGGAGTGTCGGTGCTCTTCCGGCCTTCTTTGGCTTTTTATGGCCCTCCTCACTGTTTGGGGTCTACGCCGGCATAATTTTAGGGTTTAGGGTTTAGGGTTTAGGGTTCAAGGTTTAGGGTTTAGGGTTTAGGGTGTAGGTTCAGGGTTCTAAGCGTGGGCTCCCGACAAAGATATCAGCAGCCCGAAGAACCGGGGCTCCACTGCAGAACGGACCCCCTGGAGGAGAAGGAAAAGCCCTAAACCCTAAACCCTAAACCCTCAACCCGAAACTTGTGAGCCCGGTCAAGATTTACCCTCCACCATGGACAAGCCAACAGCGGCTCCCAGCCCTAAACCCTAAACCCTAAACCCTAAACCCTAAACCCTAAACCCTAAACCCTCCGATCGCAGTTGAGGAGTTGCAGGGGGTTGCAGGGCTTCAAGGGCCGAGTCCCCCGATCCCTTCCCCACCTCTCTGCCGCCCCGCGTCGGCCGCGTTGCGAAGTCGCGACGAAGCTGAAAGGATGCATAGGGTCTAGGGTTTAGGGTTTAGGGTTTAGGGTTTAGGGTTTAGGGTTTGGGGTTTGGGGTTTAGGGTTTAGGGTGTAGGGTTTAGGGTTAGGGCTTAGGGCTTAGGGCAGAACTTCTTGTTGTAGGGTTTTGGGGTTTGAGGGCGAGAGACTTTTCGTCGACAAGGCTAGAACTCACTTCCCAATCGCCCCCCCTCCCCCGAGAGCTTTCAGGGGTTTAGGGTTTGGGGTTTGGGGTTTGGGGTTTAGGGTTTAGGGTTTAGGGTTTAGGGTTTAGGGTTTAGGGTTTAGGGTTTAGGGTTTAGGGTTTAGGGTTTAGGGTTTAGGGTTTAGGGTTTAGGGTTTAGGGTTTAGGGTTAGCTGGGTGGGGACTTCGGGATGATACTCCAGCCCTGAACCCCAAACCCTAAACCCCAAACCCTAAACCCTAAACCCTGAACCCTAAACCCTAACCCCAAAGGGGGCGGCTCTATCATGTTGGCGTTCGCTTCAACCTTCCGTTAAGAAGCAAAGCTCCAAAGCCCTAGCACCACTTGACCGCCTACTTTGGGATGTTTAAGTGTTTAGGGTTTAGGGTTTAGGGTTTTCTGGTGTAGGGTTTCGGCTTTAGGGTTTGGGCGGGGTGCTTAGGGCCTAGGGGGTTTGAAGGGGTTTGGTCCCACTCCCCCAGAACAGAAAGCCCCTTACATCCACAAACCCTCTCCCAACTCACAACTTAAACATCTACAAGATATAAACCTCAGGCATGTTTCGGATTTAGGGATTAGGGTTTGGGGTTTAGGGTTTAGGGTTTAGGGTTTAGGGTTTAGGGTTTAGGGTTTAGGGTTTAGGGTTTAGGGTTCAGGGGTTGACTTCTGAGGCACCCCAGGAACAGGGAAAGAGAAGCTTCCGCGGCTGACTCCACATCTTGGTTTCGGCTGAGGGGGGCTTAGGGTTTAGGGTTTCGCTGCTCAACACCCTAAACCCTAAACCCCAAACCCTAAACCCTAAACCCTAAACCCTAAACCCCAAACCCCAAACCCCAAACCCTAAACCCTAAACCCTAAACCCCAAACCCTAAACCCTAAACCCCAAACCCTAAACCCCAAACCCCAAACCCTAAACCCTAAACCCTAAACCCTAAACCCTGAACGGCAGGCCTCCATCAGCTCTGACAGGGTCGACTCCAGCGCTGCCACCACATGCAGGCTATGCACCTCCGAAAGTGAGGGCTTGCCATAGTGAAGGAGTTTAGGGTTTAGGGTTTAGGGTTTAGGGTTTAGGGTTTAGGGTTTAGGGTTTAGGGTTTAGGGTTTAGGGTTCAGGGTTTTCGCGTTTAGGGTTTAGGGTTTAGGGATACGGTTCAGTAGGGTTTAGGCCAGGTTAAGCTCCCCATTCTGTGAAATGCCAGAGACTTGGAGGTTTCCGGGTAGTGAGAGTCGGGCGAGATGTACAGCAACTGTTGTTCTGCCTGCTTATCACCTTCTCCGGGCTACCCCATCTGGAATCGGTTTTCCGCGAGAAAGCAGGAATTGGACTGTGAGGGACCCGCACATGGCGCTACATGGCAGCACAAGGCACGCCCCCGCAGTCGCCGCAATGGGTATTTCCAGAAGGCGGCAGAGATGCATGGTGGGGAAGCTGGTGCCCTGAACCCGCAAGCCGGAAGGCACCCTAAAAGGACCCTACTTGGAGCTGCGTAGTACTTATGAACCAATTATCACTGCACTTAGAGCTGTACTTGTAACCACATTAGGGCACTCAAGGGCGCTAACAAGTTGAGATCAGAGCTTGCGACTGGACAGCGACGACTGCGGGCGGGCAGGGAGGTTGCTCAGCTCCAGGGGCGCGCGCTTTCAAGCTCGATGGGCCAAAGACCTATATAATATCAGATGATTATTGCTAGGTTGTGCGTAAAACCCTTTGAAAATTATTTGTGAATGGGTTCCCAAGCTAGATTTCCTTGATCTGCTTCATCATCCCCCCCAAAAAAATCCATGAACTCGCCCGACGCGCTTCAGCGAAGAGCTCACAGAGCCTCCGCCTTCAAACCCTACCAAAAGCTTAGGGTTTAGGGTTTAGGGTTCAGGGTTTAGGGTTTAGGGTTCAGGGTTTAGGGTTTAGGGTTCAGGGTTTAGGGGTTAGTGGTCTAAGTTTTAGGGTATATAGTACACCTAATCCTCTGATTATCTGGCTGTGTGGACTTCCTCCGAACCTTAAAAAAAAACTCCCCTAAACCCTAAACCCTTAACACCCCAGACCCAGTTCAGGGGTTGAAGCCGCAGAGGCGACGGCCCTCGAGATTTCTCGAGCGCATCCCCTTCGGTGGCCACAGTGAAACCCTGACGGAACTGCCAGGCATCTTACTCACAGACTCCCATAACCCTAAACCCTAAACCCTAAACCCTGCACCCTGAACCCAAAACCCTTCAGTATGTAATACTCCTTAAATCCTACAAGGAACCCTAGTATGATTTAAGGAGTCTTCCTGAAATAGGAGGTATTGGAGTCCTTGGGTTTTTCTTGGTAGCCCGGTCGCCATGCTACAAATAAGGGCTTATACAAGCGCCTGTAGGAAGTTTAGGGGGTTTGCAGGGTTTTCAGGGGTTCTTGGTAGCCCCAGTGATAGGGGCACCCTTTTGTGGGGTTTAGGGTTCAAGGTTTAGGGTTTAGGGTTTAGGGTTTAGGGTTTAGGGTTTGGGGTTTAGGGTTTGAGGGTTTATGTAGAAGGGGGCCTTGAACCGACACTAGCGGACCACCGGGCTAGCAAGTACTGACTCGAGGCCTGCCATGCTAGGGCTAGAACTCTCCGAGAATGTCCAAGAGGCCGCCAGGCAGTGGGGAAAAACAGCTAGCAGGGTTTGGGGTTTAGGGTCAAGGGTTTAGGGTTGAGGGCTTAGGGTGCTCAGGGTTTAGGGTTTAGGGTTTAGGGTTTGGGGTTTAGGGTTTAGGGTTTAGGGTGTAGGGTGTAGGGTGTAGGGTTTAGGGTTTAGGGTTTAGGGTTTGAGGGTTTACGGCTTCAGGGCAGGGTCGCAGGGGGGGTTTGTTCACATCCTGGGCGGCCTCCTTTCTGATCTTGACACGCCTGCTACTTGGAGGTTCATGGTACTGATTAACCAATGATAACTGTACTTATAACTGCACTTAGAACCATATTGGGGCACTTAAGGGGCTCATAAGTGGGTTATCAGTACAGATATAATTGGTTCATAAGTGCCATGAACCTCCAAGTACTTGCACTTCTGAGATGCACAGCAGCAAGCGATGCGTACACCACGCAGTGCGATCACACGCCCGGCATGGGACTGCCGTCCCGAGCCCACGAGACATCCGAATGCAATGCTGGGGAGTTGTACGAGCAGAGAGGTTGAAACCTCACTACGTGCACGGCTTGCCGACAAGCGGCGTTCGTCCAGTGTTCACAAGTCAGAAGAATCTGCTGGCGACGGGCGCAGCAAGACTGAAGCAAAAAGGCTCTGCCAATGCTCACTGCCAAATGAAAGCCTCTGAATCTCGCAGGGCCTGTTTGACAACCTTGCAGATAGAACGTGCTACAAGAAAGGTCTAGGTTAGAGATCGTGTTCTGGATTCACAAAGAGGTCTACAAGCCTTCTTGCATCTCCCTACTGCAGAGCCGATGACCTCACAAGTCAGTAGAACGATGACATCCTCTTGGCAGCGGGCAGAAGCACTGTCCATCAATCAATTATCAATGGCTTATGCCACGAGAAGAAAAGAAAGATCGCTGCACTTTCGGCTTGGCAGTCGTCGACGACAAGACCGACGTTCTAACCCATGCCGGCAGCTTCAAATCTTAAAGTGTGTGGGCCAACATTGCGTTTAGGGTTTAGGGCTTAGGGCTTAGGGTTTCGGGTCTAGGGTCTAGGGTCTAGGGTTTAGGGATGCGCGATCCTGGCCCATATATTATACAACTTCTCGACCACACCGATGCTTGAACATGTCGGCCTCAAAGGGCAACATCCAGGGACAATCCTGAGACCTAAAAAAGAAGTCGGAATCATTCCTAACAGTATTCCCCTCAGAGTCCCTTTATAGGTATACTGGAACACCCCCCCCCCCCCCAAAAGACCCCATTCGAATTATTCAGGCCCCTACATTGCTAATTATACTACAGTAACCCCCCCAAAAAAGAAACCTATTCCAATTATTCGAGGCCCCTAGACTACACAATCGCCCTCCCTGGGACCTTTCGGCCTCAGCTGAGGCGTAGGATGGGCCCAGGCTGGAGGATGCCTGAGTCGTGGTTGGGATCGCTTTTTTTTAAAAGGTTTAGACTCAAGAGCCCTTACTGGCTTTTTTTTTAAGTACCCTTACGAAATGCAATAGTATTCCTTATGGGTTTTTCTTAAGTACCCTTAAAAAACTGTAATAATATTCCTTTTTGGGTTTGTTAAGTACCCTTTAAAAATGTATATGAAAAGTCTAAACTTCTCTTCCTTATTGGGTTTTGAAGTACCCTTAAATAATGTAAAACATGTTACCCAACTATGACAAAAACCCTGAATTCTATACACGAAAAATTTACACTGTATCTTCCTAATTGAAATTTAGGTACCCTTGCAAAATGTAAAATGTGACCCAACTATGACAAACCCTAAACCCTAAACCCTAAACCCTAAAACCCTAAACCCTAAACCCTAAACCCTATAAACCCTAAACCCTAAACCCTAAACCCTAAACCTGACAAAGATGCGAGCTCGATCTTCGGCGGGGATCTCGGCCTGAGCGGTGGGGACGGCGCCGTCGAGGCAACCGAGGATGAAGGCGCGCACGAAGGGGTTGTGCTTGGCCATGCGCTGAAGCTCGTCCTGCTGTGACTGGTTTAGGGTGTAGGGTTTAGGGTTTCGGGTTTCGGGTTTAGGGTTTAGGATTTAGGGTTTAGGGTTTAGGGTTCTGGTTTAGGGTTTAGGGTTTAGCGTTTCGTGTTTAGGGTTTAGGGCTTCGGGTTTAGGGTTCTGCATGTCCTGCCCCTCCTGTGACTGCATCTCCTCACGGCTTCCGATGAGCCGTAGCACCCGGGCCTTGAGCTTGTCACGCGTGTCCTTCCGTGCACGCTTTGCCTGATTCATGGGTTGGGATCGTATTTAAAAAAAAATGAATGTGTATTCCTTATTGAGTTTAAGTACCTTTTTTTAAAAATATGAATGTGTATTCCTTAATTGGTTTTTAAGTGCCCTTAAAGATGTCAAATGTTACCCAACTATGACGAAGTTGCGGGACCATCCCTCTTCGCGGGGTGGGCGTGGCAAAATCGGCAGGTCACGCCGTGCACGCAGCCTTAGTTGTCCAGTAACCTGGGGGAAGTAAAGGCTCACCTCTGGGAAGATAAGGGATTTATGCCACTCCAAAAAGGTTAAAGGGTTACCTGCTCTACTACTATAAGGGGACTATGTTACTCGAAAAAGTTAAAAGGTTACATGCCCTACTACTATAAGGGAATTTATATTACTCCAAAAAGGTTAAAGGGTTACCTGCTCCACTACTATAAGGGGATTATCTTACTCCAAAAAAGGTTAAAAGGGTCACCTGCTCGACTACTAGGCAGCCCTTGGCGCTCGCGAAGAAGACGCATGGATTGCAGTCGCTGCAATCGCCCGCTTCCGGCAAACCGGCACCCGGCTCGGCCTGGCTCTCCACGTCATCCCTGGGCTGGGAGGTGTCGCCTGTAGGCCTCGCTCATGGTTGGGATCGCATTCGAAATCTACATTCTAGACTTCTACTCCTCAATTGAGTTTAAGTGCCCTTAAACGACATTTCTATTCCTTGTTGAGTTTTACGTACCCCTTTAAACATGTCATAAAAATGTTACCCCCACTTTGACACCAAGAGGCCAAGAGGAGAGTCTGTTCCAACCCACCGACATGAGCTCGAGCTCCTCGTCCTCGAGCACGCGGAGGAAAGTGTTCTGCCGGACGATGCATCGGCCCTCCCACGACGAGGTGGGCATTTTGTGGGAGAGCAAAAGCCTGCTTTGCTTGGAAGAGCCGATTTAAACGCAACTCTTCAGCTGCAGGCCCTGAAGCGACTGAAAAACTCTTGGGCCAAAAAGAGGGTTTAGGGTTTAGGGTTGAGGGTTGAGGGTTGAGGGTTGAGGGTTGAGGGTTGAGGGTTGAGGGTTGAGGGTTGAGGGTTGAGGGTTGAGGGTTTAGGGTTTAGGGTTTAGGGGGAAAAAGTTGCAGTTCGAAAGCAGAGAAGACCGCAGACACCCACAGCGTCAAACGGAGGTTAGTGCCCTCCTTCCTGGTTCTTTTGAAAATAAACTTGCGTATTACATTACCCCTTGAAAGTTCAAGGGAGGAATGTTCTTGGAAGCCCTTCTGACTTAGCAAGTAGGGTTAGTAAGGGTGGGTTACGGGGACTTAATTAGGCTTCTAGGGATACAAAGTAGACTTTCTAAGTCAAAAAGGGCTTCCACGTCTCCCAAACCTCAAACCCTAAACCCTACACCGTACACACCAAACCCCAAACCCGAAACCAAAAGCCCTGAACAACTCCAAACAAGCTCCGTCAAGTGGGTTTGTTGCTCCTTGAAGAGAGTCGAACCCTAAACCCTAAACCCTAAACCCCGAAAAGGGGCAAACAGTAGCGATTTCTCTCAGACTCCCTAAACCAAATCCCTAAACCCTAAACCCTAAACCCTAAAGTAGCCCTCGGCTGGAAGAGGCGCCTCGAGAACTTTGTCGCTGCGTTCCAGCCGCCTCAGCGCGAAGGGAGAGAGGGTTTGGGGTTTGGGGGTTTAGGGTTTAGGGTTCAGGGTTTGGGGTTTAGGATTTGGGGTTTAGGGTTTTGGGGTTTAGGATTTAGGGTCGAGGGTTTGGGGTTTGGGGTTTGGGGTTTGGGGATTAGGGTTCAGGGTTTAGGGTTAGGGCTTGGGATTTAGGGTTGGGGTTTTGGGGTTTACGGTTTGGGGTTTGGGGTTGGAGGTTTGGGGTTTGTGGTTTCGGGGGTTTGGGGTTTGCGGACTTCGAGCTGGGCTTCAATGGATTCGGGACTCGAGGTCTTCGATGCTTGGGTTTGGGGTTCAGGGGCTTCGCAAGATCAACGCCTCCGCAGCCTGTGAATGCCTTAGACCCTTGAAACCCTAAACCCTTCTCCCTAAACCCTAAACCCCAAACCCTACACCAACTACCAACAGCCGCCCTCAACCACAGGCCCCGGCCCTCACCCCTTAACACCTGCGACCCCCAACCCGAGTCCCGCAGCCCCAAACCCTCCACCCCGAACCCTCCAAACCTGAACCCCAATCCCCATAACCCCTAAACCCTAAGCCCCAAACCCCTAAACCCTAACCCCGATCCCTATAACCCCTAAACCCTAACCCCTAAACCCCTAAACCCTAAACCCCAAAGCCGCGGTACAGAAGCAAGGCCGTCTGCGCCACGCCCAAGAGCAGAGAGACGCCGGAGGACAGAGTGGAGACGGCGGGACCCTGAGCAGCGCAGTGGTTGTAAGCTCAATCAAGGATGATGACATTTACGACTAGGAACTGTCATAACTAGCCCGCCGGGTTTTCAAGGGTTTAGGGCTTGGGTCTTGGGTTTCGGGTTCAACGTTGAGGGCTTCATATTGAATACCCGCTCACATTGCTTAGATGACATCATATGGTAAAGTAGGGGTACCTTACTGGGGTCCTTGTGGGATTTTCGTAAACCCCCATATAAGGGAACCGGGTTTAGGGATATGGGTCCGTCCTAGAGGGTTGAGGGGTTTAAGTCCCTCAAAAACCCCTCAACGGTGTAGGGCTTTGGGTTTAAGGTTTGAGGTTTTAAGAACCCTAAAGGGTTTAGGGAATTGGGTTTAAGGTTGTGAGGTTCTAAAAACCCTAAAGGGTTTAGGGCTCTGGGCTTAAGGTTTGAGAAGTTTAAGGTCTCGGGATTTCTTCGGTTTTGGAGGTTTTTCGGTGGGGCAACTGAGGCTTCGCGGGGTTCCTGCGCCTCGCCAGCGTGGTGGGGAAATCCCAAAATGACCTCCTAACGCGAGCTAGGGCTTTGGGTTTTGGGTTTAGGGTTTAAGGTTTAAGGTTTAAGGTTTAGGGTTTAGGGTTTAGGGTTTAAGGTGGGTCTAGGGTCTAGGGTTAGGGATTCATTGGGATTCATCCACTCTCATTCAGGATGCTTTCTAGGGTTCCTTCCAGTAGGGCCTTAGCGGCCTAAGCTCCCCAAAGCCATGAATCTCCCTGTAGACATAAATCTTCAAAAGCTCTCTTCGATTTTCAGACTATCCCCTTAGTTGTCCAGTAGCCTGGGGGAATTAAAGGTTAACCTTCGGGATTCTAAGGGGATTCTATTACCCCAAAACGGGTTAAAGGCTACTTACTCTACTACTAGGTCCCTCTCTAAAAATCTCACAGGCAGTCCATGGAAGGGGTCCCAGGAGTGGACAAGCCGCCCAGGACTTGGCCCAGTTCTTGCGGGTCTCCTGCCGATCTCATGGGATTAAGACCCTAAATCCTAAACCCTAAACCCTATTGTACCCCTCAAGGCTTCCCCTTAAATATACGCCGAATATGGCCCTTATACCACCTTAAGGATCCTATAAGAAGGATCCCCCAAACCCAAGGGCGCAAGCTCAAGGGTCCCTTAAACCCTAAACCCTAAACCCTAAACCCTAAACCTTAAACCCTAAACCCTAAACCTTAAACCCTAAATCCTAAACCCTAGACCCTAGAGCCTAGACCCTAAACCAGAAAAGATCGGGGCGCTCAGTCCCTCACCCCTCAGCCCTTGGGCGGTGCTTGTTTGGGAAGGCGGCGCTTGGTGCAACTGGGCAAGCAGCCCCGAAACCCTAAACCCCACACCCAAAACCCTCCCTAAACCCTAAACCCTAAACCCGAAACCCTAAACCCTAAACCCCAAACTCGAATATATCAGAAAAATCAAATATATATATATATATATGTGCATATATATATATACTTATTTATTTATTCCTATACATATATATATATATAAATATGTTTATCTATTTATTTATAAATAAACAAATAAACAAACTCATAAATATTGATTTTTATTTCTGTATTTATTGATTTATGTATGCATTTATTATACTCGTTTGTTTTTTTTCATATATTTGTTTTTTGTTTATTTATTTATGTTGTTTATGTATCTATTTGTTCCATCTACAAACCGTCAAACAAAGAAGAAAGTGCAAAAACAAAATAAAGGCGATGATGATGATGATGATGATGATGACGACGATGATGATGATGATGTTAATATATGCATATGAATCTAAATAAGTATGCCAAAAAATCGCTAACTCGAGCTGCGCCTCAGATTCCTCGCCATTCCGGCGCTTCGGGCGGCTCGGCATTGGGGGGTCCCAGGGAGAGCAAAAGAAAAGAGAACGCGCCGGCGCCTCCTATGAGTTTAGGGTGGCTTAAAGGGTTTAGGGTTAAAGGGTTTTGGGTTTAGGGTTTAGAGTTATAGGGGTTGAAAGTTTAGGGCTTCGGGGTTGAGGGTTTGGGACTCAAGGGCTGACAGGGTCTGTCGTCGGTGTTTAGGGTTTAGGCTCTAGCTGTTTGGAGGTTTAGAGGGGCTTAGGGTTTAGGGTTTAGGGTTTAGGGTTTAGGGTTTAGGGTTTAGGGTTTAGGGTTTAGGGTTTAGGGTTTAGGGCTCGAAAGGGGCTTACCGGCTTAAGGGGCTTCCAGCGGTCCAAGAAGCGGTGTGGCAGTTTAGGGCCTCAAGGCTCAGAGCCCAAGGCCTGAGAGCCTAAATTGGGGTTTAGGGTTTAGGGCTTAGGGTTTCGGGTTTCGGGCTTATGGTTTAGGGCTGCGGGCTTAGGGTTTAGGGTTAAGGGTTAAGGGTTGAGGGTTTTAGGGTTGAGGCTCTGGGGTTCACGGTGTAGGGGGCCTTATATTCTTACATAACCCGCACGTCACCGAGCCCATGAGCTGCCGTTTGGACGTTTTCGTTGTGTTTCTTCTCTTGTTTGTTGGGTGGGGGGGGGTTTTGGTTGGCTGGGACTTTCGGGGCTTTGGGGCTTCCGGGGGTTTGCGTTTAGGGTTGAGGGTTTAGGGTCGAGGCGTCTGCAAGCCCTAGAGCCTTTAAACCCTCAAGGCCCTCCTGCCACCCTCAAACCTTTCACCCGCTACTTTTGCAATCTTTTGACTTAGTGAGTCTACCTACCTGGTATCCCCTAGAAAGCCTGTCAGAATTCCCATAGCCCAACTTACTAACCCTACTTCACGAAGTCAAAAAGGGCTTCCAAGTAGGATAGCGCAGAAGCAACTCGGACAACCCCCGAAGCCTCTCCAAAAGTCAGAAGGAAGGCTTGCGGCGTTCGGGCTTGAGGGGTTCGGGGCTTCGGGATTTCTAGAAGCAAAAGTTCTGGGTGCTTGGGAAGGGGGGGGGGGGGCAAACCAGGTACAAGTAGCAGAGACAACCGCCTCCTTGACACCCTCTTTCGGAACTCGGTTCCGTTGACGTGCGCGTGCGCAGACTCCAGGGTAAGGGCTTAGGGCTCATGGAACGCTCAAACACTCAAACACTCCCAGTCCCCTAAAAGTTCTGAGCCCTCGAAACCCGAAGCCCCTAAACCCTAAACCCTAAACCCCCAAGCCCTGAGCCCTGATTCCCCCGTTGCCCCCCTGCGGACCTCTTCGAAGCCTGCTGCTCTCGTTTTGGGGCGGAGTCTGGGGGGAGGGTGGCTTTCCTGGCAGAGACTGAAGATTCATGGTACTTATTAATCAATGATAACTGTACTTATAACTGCACTGATAGATGTACTTACATCCATATTGGGGCACTTAAGGAGCTTACAAGTGGGTTATGAGTAGAGTTACTAGGGTGAATAAGTACCCCTAAACCCTACACCAAAACCCTAGACCCTAAACCCTAAACCCTAAACCCCTAAGTACAGCTATAGTGGGTTAATAAGTACCATGAACCTCCCAAGTAGGGGGGTCGCGGCCTCGAGAGGGCAACCCGATCCTCGTGAGCAATG